GGGTTGTTTAAGCAAAGGTTTCTCTTCTTCATCTTCATTCCACACACGAACTTCAATTGTGGGAAATCCTGTGGCATCAGGCTGCTCCTCCTTTATACTAAATGCTTCTCCCTCCAGACTAGCCCAGCATTCCTCTTGTTCCTCCTTTACATGTAGAATCTCTGGTTTCTGCTGTTCCACATCAGGACTCTGTTCCTCAAGAAGCTCTTCTTTAACAACTGCCAGAAACACAGAAATGCTTGCATTAGGATTAGGGGAAGCTATATTTGATCCGAACCAGTTCCAAACTTTAAATTCTCCCAAAATCATTCAATAATTTTTATTTTAAATGACTAGATTCAATGCCGTCCACCGACCAGAAATAAAAGCTCCCCAATATCAGCAAAGAAGAATCTGTAGCAGTGTGTGCGCGCAGCCATCTGTTTATGCTGTAGCATTTAAAAGTATGCCTTAAAGTTGATGAAATTAGAACAGCTGCTTATTTGCGAGAAAGAGTGAGCACTTCAGAAGCCCACCGGGTTGAACTGTTTGAATTGACTAGTTTCTTCGTTCAGCTAAAAAGGCGCAGCACAGCTGTACCGCTTCCACTGGAACAGAACCTGGTTCTGCTGGTTTCTTCCAGTTAAAAGGTAGTTTTCCTTCTCCACTGCTGCTGCAGCAAATGTCTACTATCCCAAATGCTCATTCAGGAAGAGTGAATCCTGCAGTCCTGCAATCAGCTGATTTTCTTAGAAAAAATTTTGCACAATCTGTTCATGATTGCATCGTCTCTGTAAAAGATCCTCAAAATGACGTGTTGTGATTTGAGCTTTTGATGCAGCTTCACATGCAGTAAAGAAAATTAAGACCCATTAAAAAAAGATTAAGACTTGATTCAGTGAATTTAAAGCCTAACATTTCAAGATTTTAAGCTGAAGAATTTTTAAGGACCTGTAGACACTCAGTAAAGAAATAAAACATTTAGTATTTGATGAGATTAAGAGATACACTGTGTTTAAAGACTAGCCCAATATGTCTCATTGTGGGAATAAAAGCTTTAAGTAAAATCTCTAACTTATCTAACATGAATGTGCTGTTAAATTACTTTATTTTTTATTTACCTGAATATCACTCTTCCATTTTTAATTATGCTTTATCCCTTTGTTTTTATTGTTTTACTGTATGTTACTTTTATGCTTTTTATTTAGTAATATAAAGAATATCCACCTTAATCGTTTGTTCTATTAAGTGCTCAATATTTAAAAAATAAATAAATCTCAGAAAAACACAGAAATACACTTAGATATGATTTCAGGAACCTCACGTGTTTTTGTTTTTATATCCCTGCTATCGGTTGCTATGGATACCATTAAATAAACCTGCAGGAAATACAAACCTAACTTCTGGAGCAAAGCTTCAGACTGCAAACCTCCCTCCATTGTTCGGGTTTCTTCATCTCCTGCATCCACTGTGGTTTCCTGAGCTGCTTTCTCCCTCCGATCAGCCGAGCTTCAATCCGCTGGACTTCTTTCCAGACTACAGGAGGTAAAACTGCTGCTTCTAAGCTCCAACTTCTTTCATTATCTGAAAGAAAAGCAGATCCGCGCTCAAGACAAAACAAGAATACCACGTAGAGCAGGGCGCCGCCATCTTTCTTATTTTTCTACTTCTTCTTCTTTTGCTTTTCATTCTTCTTCTTCTTTTCTATTATGGCGGATCGCCAGCAACTTTAAGGTGCATACCGCCACCTACTGTACATGAGTGTGTAGCAACATTACTTTACATCAAATTCTATTTTTTATTTTGTATTCTGTAGATAAATAAATAATGCTCTCCTTAATCTTTGAATATCCTTTATATTTCCTCCATTCCTAGCCTATCCTTCCAACCATTCTTCTCAGTTTCTCCCTTTCATGTTTACATGTTTTACAGTTAATCAGTATATGTTCTATATTTTCTTTTTCTCCACATCCTTCACATTTATCATTATTTTCCTCCATATTAAATATAAATTGTATTTTAAATATGTATAACCGACTCTTAATCTGACCATTATTACCCCTCTGTAATGTATTCTCATTAATGATTCTATTTAATACTGACTTTCTTATCTTCATTCAACCTCATTTGCCATTTTTCCATTTTTTTACTCTTAATAAGTGATTTTCCTTCCCCTTTCTCAAAAGGAATTGTAATTGTTATTGTTACCTCTAAGGCCCTTTATGCCAATATATCTGCCTTTTCATTGCCTTTTACACCTTCATGAGCTGGAACCCAACATAACCAAATATCAATGCCACCCCTATATAACCTAAATAGACTGATAGATTTCTAATACTAAATCTTTTCTATCATTTCCTGCTCCCTGAATACTTTCTAAAACTGTTTTGGAAGCTGTACAGATCATCACCATGTCTGGTCTAACTTCCTCTACCCATTATAAGCTTAGTATAACTGCCACCATTTCTGCTGAGAAAACAAATCGTTGATCAGATATTCTTTTAGAAATGTATATTTTTAAACTCTGGTATATATATATTCCTATTCCCACACCTTTTAAATTCTTAGAACCATTTGAATATATTTTAAGGTAGTTATAATATGAGTTTCTTAAATATGTCAGTCTTTATCCCTATTTTCCTAGATCCTCTTTTTGTTTTTTATTGGCCAATGGCAACCAACTTAAGGTGCATTTACAGCCACATACCATACTGGAGTGTGGTCATCAATGACGTCAGAGGGAAGTTATTAATGCATACCTCAAAGGTATGCACAGACCTGTATATTATCTATCTATCAATCTATATCCATACACACTCACATATACTTTAGTATATGTGTATATGCACATGCATATAAGGGTTTAAATAGTTCTTTAGGGACATAAAAAAGGATTTCGACACGCGTGGCGCCATCTGCTGGCTGTACTGCAGAACTACCACAAAAAAGCCAGATTTTGATTTCTGCATTTGTGAATGGAATAGATGGAATTTGAATTCTACACAGTATCCAAAGTATCACTTCCTTGTTTACCCTCTGTACACGTTGTAACTCTGTTCTTAAGGTGTTGGTATTGTAAATATACACAGAAGAGCTGTATTTACTAAAAAAAAGCATAAAGCTTTTTAAAACGTCTGAAGCATTTTTTCTTCGGATGTTATTTGGCGTTGAATACTACGGTGAAGAGGAGGAGGAATAGCCTCAGTTTGATGACGATGTGTTGATAAGCTGGACAGTGAGCTGCTGTTATTCTTTTTTAAATTTAATTTTACTGCAGTCAATCTGCAGCTTCTTCTGTATTTTTGAAGTACTTTTGCATTTTCAGAGCCCTGGAATTGGGATACTTGGACAGAGGAAAAACAGCAGGAGGAATGTAATGAAGAGGAGTACAGGATCTCTGGACCTCACTGCGAGGATGAAGGTTTCATTGTGAGCTAACTCTTTTTCTTTTCTTCCCAATGAGTTTTATCGAAACTAACCAATCAGCCTCAAGAATTAACTCATTTCTGCAGATGGATGCAGACTACAACCAAGATGGACAGATAGACTAAAAGAGAGAGAAGTCTCACTTGGCAGAGGTCATTACTAAGGCTAAGCCAGTGTTTGATCTTGGTTGGTATCTCCAACCATCCTGAACCTGGCTGGTCCTCATGTGGTTCCCTCTCCTGACTGGAAGCTGTTCTTGTCATTTTAGAGGAGAAAACCTTGGAGCAGTACCAGGATGAATAATACATGCTGGACTATGAGGACATCATCGACAAGGTTTCGCCACAAGCAGGTTGAAATACGGAGCAGAGTATAGCTCCTACTTTGCAGAATGTCTTTGCTGGTTTAGCTGCTACCAAAGAAAGCCAAAGATTTGGACTTTATGTTAGAGTTACTCTAGTATTCAAATGGAGAAAAAATATACAGGCAGTTTCATTGTGATGATATGTTATGTCCTTATTTTTTTCTTTTTTTTTTCAATGCATTTCTATAGCAATAGTTATATAGTTCACAATGTACCTTTAACATATAAACATAATTGGGCTAGAACAAACCCCATTATACCCACATATATACTTCCACACTGAATACAGAAAAAATATAATAATAATAATGAATAAATAAAAACATGAAAAAGGTCACAGTGTCATTTTTAAAAGAATACTCCAAAAATGAAATCTGTGCATTGAAAACCAAATACCTTAAATTTGCTATTCTGCCTAAAAATAAAGAGATTAATTTATTCAATATATATAAGCTTCAAATTTTAATTCACTGTAGACAAATGTCATCTTTGTGAACAAGAAGAGGAATGAACTGAACATATTTTTTTGTGTAGTAAAACCCAAACATTTTTATCCTCAGTTC